TAAAATTTTGAAAACTCAGGGAATTTTCGGGTCTAAAATAATTGAAGAGAATCACGCAGAGAAATTATTGTGCAGTTTGAAAAGGCAATGCAATTATGTCAATTATAAGCCAATCATTCGGTTGTTCTGAAAAAAAAAAACAGTGACATTTTCTTCTCCTTTCGCAGAGAATAATAATATGTTTGTAAATACGAATCTGTTGGCGAATTCTATGGTCAATTTGGCATCGTCAATACACAGGATTGAGTTCATCGTTTCGACTGGGAAAATTTGAAAATTCAAAAATACGCGGAACGGATATGATTTGTCACGCGCTTCGCAAGATTTATTGGATCCCATGGAATTCGTTGGGTAAGCTTTTGAAAGTTCCCTAATTACATAATCCCAAGGGTAAAAAAAAAAAAATGGTTGACGAAATAAACTGAATATATACGTAGAGAGATTAATAATGCAAAAATTGGCACTCACCGGAGTCATGAATCGGTCGGCTCCAGTGCCTTCTTCATCTTTGAAAATAATATCCGGGTTGTAGTTGGGCACGAGGTCGTCAAACCTTTTCGAGCCTCTCGACACCCGGCCTTCCGTCAGCCCCGACGCCGCCAAAGTGTTTTCGCTGACGTTCGGCACGTGTTGCTTGAACACGAGCGGCGTCAGTTTCCGGGGACGCCGTCGCCGCCCCGCGCGGCGCCCCGGCCCGCAACCCGCCGCCACGTCCACGACCAGCAGCGCCACTAGAACCCAGACCAGGGCCCGGTGCCGGCGCCATCTGGACTCTTTGCCCAACGACATGGACGACGAGGAACTCGGGGTGGATTTCTTGGGCCTTTCGTCCTCGCCCTCGTCGGTCGTGTCGAGAGAATGACGGGGATTCCGGGTGGATGTCGACGACGTGAAACCCGGAAGTGTCGCGGATTTCGTCGCGTCAACGGCACTCGCGAAAACTGGGGTTGACGGCGACGACGATTGGTCGTCGTCTCCGACCTCGAAGTCCCACGTCATTTTCGCCAGAAAAAACCCCCCTTTTATCTTTTTCTCTTTCTCTCTCTCTCTCTCTCTTGTTGTTGTTGTTCGAAATCGATTATTATTTGCCAAAATCACTGATTTTTTATTGGAATATTTTCCAACACGCAGCTCGGAAAAGAATTTTCTCCAAATTCAACCCGCACGAAACTCGGCGTCGAAGAACTCGTCTCAGGAACCGTGTTTCCACTTCGTCTGAAAAATTATATTAATCAATACAGATTAATTAGAAAATCGAGTCAATTAATGTTGAAAAAATCAATTCAATCGACAAAAATACAGGAATACACAATTATTTCGCGAAGGCGGAATAGGAAACTTATTTCCGGAGGTCAGATAATTCAGTCAAGTCCAGACGATGAACCGAAAAGTCAAAGGAGGAAAAAAAACACCAAAAAAACAGGTCAAATTTTGACGAAAACTCCAAAACCCGAATGAAAGAGTGAGTGAACAATATTTGATGAATTTTTCAGCTTGTTTAATTCGTTTGAAAAAAAGGAGACATTTTTTTTCCAACATGCGAATTTCCGGTTGAATACAGAAAATCTACGCAAAAAATTTCCAGAGCAGTTGAATGGAATAAAGTATTAGCAACGGATTAAAAGACACACGCAAAGGAGAAAAAAAAAACCAAGTGAATTTCATACTTTTCCCCTCACCCTCCAAAGTCTCATTCTTCAGAATGTTTTTGCGCAGAAATTTCAAGCGGAAAACAATTTCTCAGTCAATCGCAGCCACACACAAAACACCGGTTCGAAAATTAATATTCTTTTCTGTCGAAATGTGCAATGGGAAAGAAAACGGCGACTTTTGTGAGCGTGTAAAACATACGTGGGGACATTCAAAAGTTCTAAAAAGACTTTAATCAACTTAATCTCGACGTCAAAATCGCCGGTTAAATCTGAGAAGAAAAAAATTCCTTGACAATCATAAACTCGATTACGAAATTAAAGTCTCACTTCTCCACTTTGAATAAAAAATAATAATTGTGAAGAAAAAGCTAAAAAAAAAGGTTTAAATTTCAGACTTGAAATCGGTGAATATTAAAGAAAGAAATAACTCAGGCAGAGCTTTACTATGCGACAGTTGTTTCAAAGACAATAAACCTCATCAAAACATCGAAGTATGACATTTCAAATGTCCAAGAGAAACAAAGAAAATCATTTGAAAATCCAAGAAAAACATTCAAGTCTTACAAAAGCGGGTCCACGAGTTATTGAAACAAAAATACTGTACATGTTATCATGATTGATGATGATTATGTACGTTACCTATACACTTTATATCCTTGTCAACTTTCGGTCCAGCTTCACCCCCAAAAACAATTGATCCCTATCATATAACTTCCGGATCACCCCTCGTAAACAGCGATTCATGCCGAATCAGCGGCAACAACTCGTGCGCGAAATTTTCTGCCTTCGTCGGTCTGGATTTCGTCTACACGGAACAACCCGCATAATTACGCATGAAAGGCATCGTCAATCATCCGACACTTAGCTCCATATATACGAACACCACACACTGGGGGTAACACACACATACATACGAAGAACCCGGGGTTTCAGAACCCAGCTGTGGGCTACCGAAGTTTTTCCCGGGTTTCTTTTTTTTCGTGAATCAAGAGGAGAAACCCAAGTCGATATACGAAAAGACGGAAACCAGATGCCGGGTTATTCTCCGTCTCTCAAAATATAATGAAACCCCGGTGTTTCTTCGGAAAACAGTTGATTCAAGTTGAGAAAAAATGTGGCGTTTCTTGAGAAACAGCCGTTTTTAATTTTTTTTTATCATCATCGCCATTGGAATAGGGCCTCATCAAACCTTACACAAGTAAATTTCGTAGAAAGGTTTATCACAAATTTCAAGACCCAGAGCGAGTCAAACACGTCTAAAACTTGTAGAGGAAAACTCCAGAATTCACTATACTCGAATAAATCGTCGAATGATGGTCGATTCCCCGAAGAGTTACGTTCATAAACGATTTTAACGAGCAGGATTTTCGAAATTTTGAAAGCTAATTTTGTAAGCTTAGTCAGAAGACTGCAAATTAAGAAACTGGAAAAGTGCATTGTTCGAATATTCCGAGATCCTTCGATGCAAAACAACCTGAATCCATCCTCTCAGTTAATTTGTTTCGCGCGTCAAAAAACATTCTTCAATGGACATCATCACTATAATCGACGCTCATTCCGAAACGAAATTTCAAGAAAAACACCCCAGAACCACAAGATGTATCAGATAAAAAAAACAAAAATAGAAACGAAATGTTTCAAGAAATTCCTGAACGATTACCAATTTATTCCTCGTCGTCGTCGCGCCTTCACACTTGGGTTCAGTTCCGAAAACACTTCACTTATACTCGTATTATAATTTTTTTTTCATTGAGGAAAAGCGTTTCAAGAAAAATATCCGTACAGAAAACACACCCTCACACATGCAATTTTTCCCTTTGTCATTTAAGAAAATAAATCCGGAAACAGCCGCCACTGATCAAACAAACGGAAAAGCACTCTGTCCCGCACGAAGAGCAAGCAGTGACTGGGGAAAAACGACCATGGCCCACCCAGCAAGACCCGAAAATCCCCCCTCCGGGCATATTTCTCTGTTGCAACTTCTTCTGAATCTCTCAATGAAACCAATTTATTGACAACGGTATCCCACATTTTTTTAAATTATATTTCGCAATTTAATTACGGTTTATATAAAAAATAAAACACCAGCAGGAACTCGTTGACACGCGAACGAAACCAGGCATTGGAAACTCTCGGAATTTGGCTAGATTGTCGAATTTTATTTGCAAACGATATTCGATATTGCTGTACTTGAATATTCCTTGAATATCACCAAACACATCATACTAAAAACATAACCGGGATGAGAAAACGAGTCAGGGAGGCGAATCCTCGAATGAATATTTATTTCGAATCGAAGAATAATTTTGTTTCCACTGGCAAGACTGTAGTTCACCGAATATCACTTTTGCAAAAATATCAATGCAACATTTTTGCTAGTATTTGATTAAAATTTTGAATATCTACAAAAATCTAAAGCTTCTCTCTAACCTCCGGAAAAATGATGTGAAGTACTGTATCAATTAGTTTAAAAAATATAATCTTGAATTCCATTTCAGGACAGTTAATTCTCTCAATTAACCATCACCAAAATTGCGAGAAGAAAAAAACTCCACGGGTAAACAAAAAGAGAACCTTGCGGAAATGACTTCGCGACGAATGCCATTCACCTGCTGCGATATTCACTCCAATTTTCAAATATATTTCCAATTCACTCACAATAAAGAATAACGTTATTGCACTGGAAAAGAACTCTGCCAAATTTTTCACGAGGATCGGAGATGAACCAGAAAACCTTCGTGGTTGGATAATTGTAAAATATATTCATCGGAAGGATTTTCACGTCCTTTTCTGCGTCACTGCAGAAACGATCCTAATTTTATCTTCGATGAGAACATGCACACTGTACATTTCTTTCTTTTAATCGGCACTTTTTTATTGGAATATTTTCCAACACGCAGCTCGGAAAAGAATTTTCTCCAAATTCAACCCGCACGAAACTCGGCGTCGAAGAACTCGTCTCAGGAACCGTGTTTCCACTTCGTCTGAAAAATTATATTGATGAATACAGATTAATTAAAAAATTGAATCAATTAAAGTTAATAAAAATCAATTCAATTAACAAAAATACAGGAATACACAATTATTTCGCGAAGGCGGAATAGGAAACTTATTTCCGGAGGTCAGATAATTCAGTCAAGTCCAGACGATGAACCGAAAAGTTGAAGAAGAAAAAAAAAACAAAAAAAAAACAGGTCTAATTTTGACGCAAACTCCAAAACCCGAATGAAAGAGTGAGTGAACAATATTTGATGAATTTTTCAGCTTGTTTAATTCGTTTGAAAAAAAAGGAGACATTTTTTTCCAACATGCGAATTTCCGGTTGAATAAAGAAAATCTACGCAAAAAATTTCCAGAGCAGTTGAATGGAATAAAGTATTAGCAACGGATTAAAAGACACACGCGAAAGAGAAAAAAAAACACACGTGAATTTCATACTTTTCCCCTCACCCTCCAAAGTCTCATTCTTCAGAATGTTTTTGCGCAGAAATTTCAAGCGGAAAACAATTTCTCAGTCAATCGCAGCCACACACAAAACACCGGTTCGGAAATTAATATTCTTTTCTGTCGAAATGTGCAATGGGAAAGAAAACGGCGACTTTTGTGAGCGTGTAAAACATACGTGGGGACATTCAAAAGTTCTAAAAAGACTTTAATCAACTTAATCTCGACGTCAAAATCGCCGGTTAAATCTGAGAAGGAAAAAATTCCTTGACAATCATAAACTTGATTACGAAATTAAAGTCTCACCTCTCCACTTCGAATAAAAAAATAATAATTTTGAAGAAAAAGCTAAAAAAAAAAGTTTAAATTTCAGACTTGATATCGGTGAATATTAAAGAAAGAAATTTTTCAGGCAGAGCTTTACTATGCGACAGTTGTTTCAAAGACAATAAACCTCATCAAAACATCGAAGTATGTCATTTCAAATTTCCAAGAGAAACAAAAAAAATCATTTGAAAATCCAAGAAAAACATTCAAGTCTTACAAAAGCGGGTCCACGAGTTATTGAGACAAAAATACTGTACATGTTATCACAATTGATGGTGATTATGTACGTTGACTATATTCACTTTATATCCTTGTCAACTTTCGGTCCAGCTTCACCCCCAAAAACAATTGATCCCTATCATATAA